ATCAGTGACTCGGTGGTCCCCCCGTTTTGGTGACGAGGGTCGGCGGTGGGTCGGCGGCAGGGGGCGCGCCCGTCTATAACCTTCGGTTACCACCGAAGGCCCTCCGGGCAGGGCACGGGCTTCGTGGCCGGCGCCCGGATTGTAAGGGCTCCGCCCCCTGCCGCCGACCCCGGGGATAAGGCACGAGATCGCCGACGGTGGCAAATTTATAGGTCCCGGGAAGGGCTTTGGAGCCTGGCCAACGGCCCTGCTGGCTGCCGAGGAGGGTTTGAGACCGGACTCCCTAACGTCACCTTCGAAACCCATAAGAAAGGACTGGGAGACAGCTCCCATCGTGGCCACGCCAGGCCCGGCTTCGGCAGCCGGCTGCGGCGCAAGCATCTGCAGCCAAAGGTCCCGGGAAGGGCTTTGGAGCCTGGCCAACGGCCCTGCCGGCTGCCGAGGAGGATTTGAGATCGTGGCCACGCCAGGCCCGGCTTCGGCAGCCAAGGCTGCGGTGCAAGCATCTGCAGCCAAAGGTCCCGGGAAGGGCTTTGAAGGAGCCTGGCCAACGGCCCTGCCGGCTGCCGAGGAGGGTTTGAGACCGGACCCCCTAACGTCACCTTCGAAACCCATAAGAAAGAACTGGGAGACAGCTCTCAACGTGGCCACGCCCGTGCCAGGCCCGGCTTCGGCAGCCAAGGCTGCGGCGCAAGCATCTGCAGCCAAAGGTCCCGGGAAGGGCTTTGGAGCCTGGCCAACGGCCCTGCCGGCTGCCGAGGAGGGTTTGAGACCGGAACCCCCTAACGTCACCTTCGAAACCCATAAGAAAGAACTGGGAGACAGCTTTCAACGTGGCCACGCCAGGCCCGGCTTCGGCAGCCAAGGCTGCGGTGCAGGCATCTGCAGCCAAAGGTCCCGGAAAGGGCTTTGGAGCCTGGCCAACGGCCCTGCCGGCTGCCGAGGAGGGTTTGAGACCGGACCCCCTAACGTCACCTTCGAAACCCATAAGAAAGAACTGGGAGACAGCTCTCAACGTGGCCACGCCAGGCCCGGCTTCGGCAGCCAAGGCTGCTCCGGAATGTCTAACGTTGCTTTCGGAACCCGTAAAACAAGTCTGTGAAGCAGCATGCCCTCGGTTGCCTCCTCTGGCGCGCGCCCCCCTTCAACCGGCGGGGTCGGCGGATATAAGTCAGGGGAAGATGTCTACAATAGACCAAGAAATTTCACATAGGTGCAGATGCATGATATTGTGTGAAGCAATAGTTCAAGGAGGAACCGTTGTCATGTTTATTGCCCAAGTGCAGTTTGCTTGGGCAGCGGAGTGCGGTTTCTTGCAGTCTGCCCTAGGAGTCTCAGTTTACATCAACCCCTTAACACCTGCAATGGCGATGGCACTGCCGGCTGCTTCAAATCAGGCGCATCCACAGGTTTGACCATGGCAGAGTGCGACGGAATTGAAGAAACTCTACTAGAAATGCCCTTTGATTCTACTAGTAGCTACTAGGGTGGAGGAGGCCATCACTATTAGGATGGAGGCCATCGCTACTCCTTTTAGTTGCAAAGACCCCACAATTTTCGCTGTGCAGAACACACCAACAGTGCCAGCTGTGAAAAGCTCCTGGCCAGGTCCTGATCTTCTCATGCGCAAGTTGCAGCAGCAGTGGATCTCCTGGTGCTTACTTGGCCACCAGTTGTTCTATTTCTCAGGGCTTTCCGGGCTTCACGAAGACAAGGCCGTGAGGGGTTCGCTTTCATTTGAAAACCAATGCAGATGAATCAGAAGCTAGCTAGTTCACAAACAAAAGCTCGGCACACCTGCTGCAAAGGCTTGTTTCTTTTTTAAAAGGAGGACTTGTGACACAAGTGTGAGTTGCAACAGTTGCAACTAGCTATTCTGATATTGCGAGTTGCTCCGTTGCTTTGCTCAGTGGCGTCGACCCGGAAGTTGATGCCAATGGTGCTGTGAATACAGAGAGTGCTTTCCTCCAACAAAGCGGCAGTTATTGGACAATAACGCTTGACACAAGCCTCTTGACCCAGGCTGGACAGTGATGAGAAGTATATAACACAAGACCTAAAATGTTTGTTGTTACTTTCTGTATTGTTTGCTTGGTTGAGGGATCTTATTATGTGCTTTGCGCCGACATGGATGGTGGCCCCACATCTGGTCAACCTGACAGCAACCCTTTGAAGATCGGAGAGACAGTTGACACTTTGAAGAAAAGACTTTAGGAACAATGTTCGCTACTAGGGGCTCCTGGCCTTACTACTAGGAGCACGGACGCTACTAGGAACAAGAAGAAAAGACTTTAAGGAACCTAATAACGGTGGCCTCCACCCTAGTAGCAATGCCCTCCAACCTAATAGCGCTGGCCTCCAGGAAAGTTCGCTTTTAGCTTGTTTGGCACACTTATTGAGACTTTTGCTCAAGGCACCCACACATTCTAATTCCAGCACAGACATTCTTACATGTTGATTTTATTGTTGGCCTCACCTTGATTTGCATCAGCATTGCCAAGGAAGTTTACATCACCTCGATTCAAAGCTTGCAGACTGATGTCATCCTTGCCGCTCTAAATCAGCACATCAGTTTCACTTGCCAGAGCCACGCTTGCATCCAGGGCATTGAACATGTTCACTTCCTGACAAAATCAACAGACAAACCGTTTTGATCATGTGAAAGGGTCTTTGCGGAAAGGTAAGTTTGCTTCCTTGTTCCCACTTTCACCTTAGGCTACGACAGCCTTCTTCTTACCAGCCTCCTATTCCTGTTGTTTTGCGGGTTTCTTCTAGCTTCAGCGCCCCTAGCACTCCATCAAGGCTCAAAGGATCCTTAGACTTCATACAGAGAATACATGCTTGCCAGTGCTACTACGCTGTTGTCACTGTTTCATTGCCAGTGGAGCAGTGAGCTTGGAAAGTCATAACTCGTACGTCGTAAGCTCCGGAGTGGAGGATAGAGGACTGGGAGGAGCCTAAGGATGATTTAGCAGAGGACTTTGTAGTTTATAGACATGTGAGAAGAGACCCTACGGCTGTAGCGATGACAGATGGAAAGCAGTTCTGGCTTTCCTATGGGGATACTGTATGCTCGCCTGAGTTTCCAGATTTAACTCTTTAGTGAGAATTGTGCTCCGTGGGCCTTATGGACAACTGCCCCAGTTCCTCTTTACAAAAGCGTGTCCTTTTTTGTGCGTGATTTGAAAGACATGTGCAGTAGATGCCAGATTTTTCAGGAGCTGTGATGCCACCACTGAGATGTATTTGGCAGATGCTTGCGACACCTCTGCTTACGGATCCGTTGTGGCCATCACGGGATCGAGGAAAGGTGTGATTTTGAGTTCAAGCCGCCTTGTTTGCGATCCCACTGCTTACAAGGGTTGGCTGAGCAATACCAAATAGATACTATTGAGGTGAGAATACATTTGAGGTGGCTCAAAGGTAAGGTTTTGAGTGAGAGTTGCGCACTGACAGGACAGCCTCGGTGGCAATTGAAAGTGGTGTTTTTCCGGCGTGGGAGGTGGTTCTTGATGCATCCACATTAGCCGGCGGCCGGGACTATCGACTTTGTGTGGATCAGGCCAGGGTTGATGACAACACTGTATCGCATCACAGCAGGCTTGAAATGCTTCGGACACAATATGACACCAAGAACGCACTAGCTTCGCATCAGAACGGTTTTTAACACCCTTCCTACGCCAATATATTGTTGCATTTTTTAAAACCAAGACTGCACCTGTCAACAAGAACGCTCTCTCCGCTTATGTTTGGCCCAATTGCGGCGTTGTAAAGCGATGAACCGCACCCTACGGCATCGCTACTAGGAGCAAGGACGCTAGTAGCTATTTGTTGCTAGTAGTAAGGCCTGGCCCAGGAGCCACTAGCAGCGTCCCTGCTACTAGTAGTGATGCCCTTTGTTCCTATACAGGTTCCCAACTTTCAAGTGGTGCAGTGTTGCAGGATGGCAACAAGACTGTCCAACGTGGTGGTGATGCTCAACTCTCTGTTACTGTGAGTGGTCTTCTCTTTGTCTCTGAATCATCAGTCCTGCCAGGGCCATCACAGGCGCGAAAATTAAGCCATTCTTGAGTCAAAACCAAAAAGGAGTCATTCCCAAAAAAGCAAACGACTTTGTGCTGTTGTTAACGAATCTGAAGACTAAGTGACCAAGCGTCTCGAGACTAGTTTTGTGCTTCTCAGCTTGTTGTCGGATACTGGTAGGTGCTAAGAAACTTGCTTGCATATAGTGTGGAGGCCATCGCTCTTAGGTTGTTGTTCGCTCTTAGGTTGGAGGCCATCTCTATTGGAAACAAAGAAAAAAGGTAAGGAAGAAAAGAACAAAACGTTTCCACATCTAGTATACCTTTGTGTTTGCCTGGCGGCTGGAGACACGACAAGATTTCGTTCACGATTTGCTGAGGTTTGCAATGCTCTGCCCTTGGGGGCTGCACTTCTGGTACCTCAAAGCTGTATTTGGCCAAGAGCTGTGACACCACCATCAGCACAGGTCAGCTCTTGGAGCGAGAGAGGAACAGTTCCATTTAAAGGACATTTCAGTCAAAAATACTTTTTTGAAGGCCACTCAATGGCCTCCAACCTACTAGCGGATAGCGATGGCCTCCAACCTACTAGCGATGGCCTCCACAAAACAGCTTTGCGTTGCTCAGTTTCTTGGTGTCGCTTTGCTGTTTCTATAATCTTTGTGCCAGGCATTGTGTCCGCCAGCGGTGAGGATTATTCTTCAAGTTTTGTGATGACTGGAAGTGGCACCAACTTTTTTGCCACTGTGAATACCTCTCGCTCTTTGGCTGCGCTTCAACCATCTTCAACCACTTTTGAACAGAGTTCTGCCTTACCTCCCAGTATTCTTCGCATCGTTCAATTAAGGCTTTAGCACTTTTGGACAGCATGGACACTGATTTCGTTTCCTTTCAATCAGAGCTTCTCACATTAGGCTTGCAGCCCGGGCGGCACTACAAAGTATGTGCAGACATCGATGGCGTTGGCGATCTTCGCATGGTCGACAGCCTTCAGGAGGCCAAGGGTCTCACAAAACGATAACGTTTCATAGTTTGATTGATTTCGGCTTGGAAGACAGATCACAGGACAGCAAACCAAAACGCGCTCCAAGGTGAAGAGGTTTGCAAATGCAAGTTCTGATTGCTCACAGTTGCGCAAAGCTAGCCCCGAACTGTCAGGTGTACATCTCGCCGGTATTTGCCGGACATCCAAAACTTGAGGGCCCATGGCCAAGTGTACTGCGTGCAAGTGGACAGGCTCACCTTTGTGATTTTTTTTCCCTGCCTGTCACAAACTCATGTGCACTTCATAATTGTTCATGTTACTAGTAGCGATGCCAGGAGCTACTAGTAGCGTCCTTGCTCCTAGTTATGCCCTTTGCTACTAGTAGCTTCTTGTTACTAGTCGCGGTTGAGTATTGCACCTGACTTTTGAGTGTTGAAGCAAAGCCAACATAGTGACCTCGAGAGTCTGAAGCCAATAGCTTCGGTTTTGCAGGCTCTGAGCTTCAACTGCCCATCTTGCTCAAATGTCTCAGAAGGTTGGCTCGGTGAGGCCTCATATTTTTGGTGTCAAATTTAGTCTGATGATCATATCCTCGTCAGCCTTGGATGGCTTCACCTGAGTCATCATCATGTCCTTTCTCTCTTTCTTTCTTTTTCTTCATGTTTTGTCTTTACTTTTGCGATGCTTCTCGGTTGTCAAGGACTGTGGCAATGCCACCGACCCAAACATCCTGCGCACACCGTCCTTCAGCTTGCAAGGACACTGCGTGGGCATATTGAGAAACCCCCGGTGCAGCTTTGACCTCGGCAAATATTGGCAAACGTGTTCTCAGTGTTTTGCATTCTGGACCTTAGTCTACAGTTTTTGTCTAGGGCCTAGGGTTTCCATTTTTGTGGGATGGTTTTCCACAGCTCTGGAGGCTGAAGGAAGGAAAGCGAAGCAACGGCTTGGTGGACAAGTTCATGTTGATTTGTTTTGGGGGGAGGCGCTGCGCCCTCCACTGAACCATTTCGGAACAAACCAAGCCATTTAACGGGCCAGCTAGCCCAACAGATAAACCGTGAGTTGCCAGAGAAGTCCTTGCTTGGTTTGCTCAGCGCTTCCCCAAAACCTTGCTGCTTTCTTCGCAAACCCAAGCCGCTGTGGTAGATTGGTCCCAGCTCAAGCCTGACTGAGAATTTTCTTGCTGATCGAGACGAGAGGGTGAACTTCTGACTGTCGCTGTCGCGATCTTCAGACTCTGCGCTCTTTGTGTTCACAGATCTCTTTAAATAGAAAGACAAAGAATGTTTGCTCCTAGTAGCGATGGGAGCCCCTAGGGCCACAAAGGGGGCCGAATCAAAGGGGCACATATTGTAGTAGCTTCTTGTTACGTTCGTAGCGTCCTTGTTACTACTAGTAAGGCACTTGTTACTAGAGGCGATGCACTTGTTCCTAGTAGCTTCTTGTTACTATGATGAGCTTCCTCTGTCCAAACCTGGGCGCTTCGAAGGCATCAAGGGCATGTGGCAGTGTGGCTAAACGACAAGATGCTTGCGGCCTGACTGTCCTGTGTGACTTCTGCCTTCTCGGACACACTGTCATTCTCGATCACCTAATATATGTGTAAAACCGTTGAAACCCATTCTCTGACGCGCTCCACCGCTTCTCAGGGTTCAGTGAGCAAAATGCACAGAGTCCACACACCCAGAGTCCAGAGTCCACAGGATGTCACAACAAGACACTGGAGGTCGGACGAACACGGTTGAAGGGATTCGAAGTGCAAAGAGCAGCAGCAACAACAACAACGACAACAACAGGTTGACCACCCAGAGTAATAAGTCCAACCAACGAAATCAGTCAGTGACTAAAGAGATCCAAAGCAGGATTTAAAACCTGAGGATCGATTGCAAAAAAGATCTTCAGCATGTGGGAAAATACCGACTCAAATGCAACATGAGAACAAGAAACGAAGAACAACGTGCTGCATTTGAAAGGGCAGCTGAAGCGTTTACAAATTGCAACCCCCAACCCCCGCCAACCCTCCACCTACCCCGAGAAACATAAAGACTGCTGCCAGAGTGGGCCAATCCCTGGCACTCTGGAGGCCTCGCGCACAGTCCGTGAACATGCAAACCAGACAATTATGGTTTTGTGAGGGGGCCCAGCTAGTCACCAGCTTCTGCGCAGGAGAAGGATCCTCTTGGGTGCTTCCAATCGATGCAACACCTTTGACAAGTGGCCGCAGAGTTGCACCAGCATGTGCACGAAGGATTGTCAATACTTTTGAGGCAAAGCCTTGTGATGTTCTTGACACATTGATTTGGTTTGATTTTGGTCTTATGTCAATGGCCTCCAACCTATGATTGCCTCCAACCTAATGGAGATTGTCCTTGTGTTGAGGTGAAAGCTATTATCTTTGCTTGGACCTGGACGGTGATGGAGTCGATCTTCGCCCTGGGAACGCCTTAAGCACTTTGTCGCTTGGACTATTGATGATTCAAGCTGAGGGCCAGGGTCCTGAGCTTGTCACTAAAAGGCATCAAAATAGTCGTGAAAGGACATCGAAACAACACATACACAGCTCTTGCGAGGCTTAACATGAACAATCACGCAGGGGCTCAATGAAAGCAGATTGTTGAACACGAGCCTGCCCGCACATATAACACATGGTGGAATCGTGGCCCACATAACGTCAAGATCTTGAATTCCCTGCCTACAGTGGGTCAACATGTCTCTTCAAAACTGGCTGCCAGCACTGAAGTTCTATCCCAAGCATGATAATATCTTAAGGCTCGCCTTGTGTTTCTTCCTCAACTACTCAAACAAGAGACAGCATCAACTAGGTATCAACACACAAGCCTATAATTTCCCATGGTGTTTTGCTGTTCAACTCATTTGCTTGCGACGGCTCGTTGGGTGTCTACACTCGTTGCTCTAGTTTGCTTCTCGTCTCCCATATCAATCTCATGCCTATCTCAGTGCCGCTGATGCTGGGGGTTCAAGACCATGGTATGAATCTTCGATTGCAGCCAGCATGTGTGCTTTGTGGGAATTCCATATAGTACTGTGGCGTTAACAGCAGGCCCTTGAGCGCGTAGTTGGGTCTCCTCGCGTGGATCAACGCGTCGTTTCAGCAATGTTCAATGCTACATGCTCAATCATTCCAAGCTAAGCGCTGCCATCCTCATCGTTTCGGGCTTGGAGATGACTCCATGTGAGCCCAAACAAGGCGTACAAGAACACTAGTAAAGCATGCTGGCGGCTAGCGTACCAGTCTTGGTAGTGCTTTTGCTTTCTTCGACAAGAGCAACACAGCACGGGCGCTATTTATAGATTGCCTTTTTTTGGAGGCCATCACTAGTAGGAACAACTCGGAACAAGGGACTTGCTGGAGCCTGCAGTATCTCAGTGCAGCACACGCCAGCTTACGGACAGAAACACCAAGACATGAATGAACATGACTACCGACCGCTTGCAACAATGATTGAAGGGACTGCAGCTTTCTTTTCACATGGATAGAACAAGGTGCTCCCAAGCACACCCCGTGAAAGTGAAAGTTAAATACATGCGTCTGGCAGTGTTTCCAACACTGGACTTGTTACATCCACATGAAGCTTGGCTCTAGATGGGACTTCCATGAATGGTGGCATCATGCTGCGCAGCCCTCATGCTCATGGATGAATGCTTTTGATCTGATCTGACTTGGAAGGCCCATGCCCTTGCCCTCACTGTGCTGCTGTTAAAAGGCCTTCTCTTCTCGCTTCGTCTCTTTTGAAGTGGTTTGGCCTTGTCACCACGCATGTACAAAAGCATACCTGATATAAGTTTAGCTCATCTCTGCTTAGCTCAGGTCGTCGTAATTCACATCACCTCTTCTCATGTTTGCCTACCCGATCATCATCATCGCTTCTAGGTTGGAGGCCTTCCTTCGACCTTTTGCTCGACCTTTGCGGCCCGCGGAAAGCCAAAGGGTCACATCTTCGAGCACACAGATGTGTAGCGATGGCATCCAACTACCTAGATGGCCTCCACAAATTTGTTTCAGAAATCATGCATTGAGACTGAAACATACAGCAGCCAAGGATCTACGTCAGTGCTGTGAATTCAGTGCAGCCAGCTTTTGTCGATGGGGCGAGCGGCCAGACGGTTCATGTAGGTTGTCTAGAAGGCGACATGCGATGACCTAAAGTTTCTTCTTGTGACAGTTTCAATGTTAAGTTTCCCAAAGGTCAGCACTTAGTACCTACTAGTACCATCAAGATCCATCAAGTCATCAAGTACTACTTCTACTACCTTCAGCTGCTTAATTAACTAGATACTTACTTAGCTACCTCCTCATGGCCTATCTCGACATTCCGAA